AGGGATAGCGAATTGTCAGCTTACCATAACAGTGCTACTGGGAGAGTACCTCGAATGGGCAGGAGAACGATCTAGAACATAAAAGACTGTTTTTATTCTGGGATTCCATGTGCTGTAAATTTTTACTAACATGTAAGTATAAACCTTTGTCTAACATGTTAACTGTTAGACCTGTTGCCAGTCATGGCTCAGTTCCTTGTATGTTTTTATTTTCATATGGCTGAGAACAGATATTTCTCTTCAAAAAATCTAGCTTACAGAAATTCTTTCCATACTTTAGCTACCTATACTTGTATTTTTCCCAGATAAAGTAGCTAATCCATTATTGATCACAGTGTGAATAAAACTATTCTAAGCCATTATATAGATTAGTAATACTTAGTATCAAGATTCTCAGGTTCTCTTGAGGCCAAGTAAAATATCCCTTTCTTTTCTGCTCCTTTGACCTCTAGCAAGTGAGAAATAGGAAATCATGTTGACTTTTTCTAAATAATGGCATTATTGAGATATAATTCACATTTCATAATATTACCCTCTTAACTCAAGGTCATTTATTTTTAGTATATTTACAGAGTTGTGCAATCATCGCCACTGATCTCAGAACATTTTTATCATCCCCCCAAGTAACCCCATAACCCATAGTGATCACTCCTCACCTTTTCTCCCCCCAGCCCTGGCAAACACTAATCTACTTCGTCTCTATGGATTTGCCTATTTTGGACTTTCATATAAATGGAATTATACACTATGTGCCCTTCTATGTCTGGCTTCTTTCTCTTAGTATAATGTTTTCAGGGTTCATCCATGAGGAAGCATGTATTGGGGCTTCGTTCCTTTTTATGGCCAAGTAATATTCCATTGTATGAATATACCACACTTATTCATCAGTTGATAGACATTTAGATTCTTTCAAATTTGGGGGTATTATGCTGCTTGAACATTCATGTACATTTTTTTTGTGTGGATGTATGTTTTTCATTCTCTTGGATGTATACTAGGAGTGGAATTGCTGGGTCTTATTAAGCTCACTAGAGACCTGGTGCACGAATTTGTGCATGGGTGGGGTCTGTTCTGGCCAGCCCGCCCCAATCGAGGCAATTGGGTGGGGCTGGTTGGGGGGAGGGGCTGCAGGCAGTTGGTTGGCCAGTCCCGCCCCCTGGTTGAACTCCCAGTTTAGGGGACATTTTGCATATTAGCCTTTTATTAGATAGCAGCAGTTCTCAACCTGTGGGTCGCAACCCCTTTGGCGGTCGAACAACCCTTTCACAGGGGTCACCTAAGACCATCCTGCATATCAGATATTTACATTACTACTCATAACAGTAACAACATTACAGTTATGAAGTAGCAACGAAAATAATTTTATGGTTGGGTCACAACATGAGGAACTGTATTTAAAGGGCCAGAAGGTTGAGAACAACTGTTATATAGGACATAACCATGTTGAAGATGATGGACATTGTAGAATGGGATAGTCAAAGCTAAAACTGGAGTACAGAATCTAGAGGTAAACAGGTCATCAGCATCTAATTGTTTAATTATGCAACAACCTAACAAGTGACTTAACCACTGAGTTATTGTGTAGATACAGTGAATGCAATGGTTATTAGCTAACAATAGTAAGTAACAACAATAAATGCTAGCTAATGGGATGATATGGGGAGAAAGGGTAGATATATTTGGTTCATTTGCTTTTCCTGTTTTCCATGAACCATGGCAGGTAAAAAAACATGGTTGAAATAATTGTTCATTAACTTAGAGTAATGCAATGAAACCCCACTCCTTAAAATCCCTATATAGCTGTTATAGCTGTGCTTTTAAAATAAGGTCTGAGCCAAACCGATTTGGCTCAGTGGATAGAGCGTCGGCCTGCGGACTGAAAGGTCCCAGGTTCGATTCTGGTCAAGGGCATGTACCTTGGTTGCAGGCACATCCCCAGTGGGGGGTGTGCAGGAGGCAGCTGGTCGATGTTTCTCTCTCATCGATGTTTCTAACTCTCTATCCCTCTCCCTTCCTCTCTGTAAAAAATCAATAAAATATATTAAAAAAATAAAAATAAAATAAAATAAGGTCTGGGAGAGAGATCCAATGTAGTACTAGATTACATAGTTTTTCAGGCAAGTCACTTAACATTTCTTTTTATTCTGCCTATGAAATGGATATAAATGTACACAGGCTGACTTCATCAGTTTTGTGATAGTTAAGTCAATGTTTTTAAAATAATCATTGCATGAAAAATACTTTAAGAACACAAAGTATGAAAGCATGTATTTGAAATAGTTTCAAATTTAGACCATCAGTAAAACGCTCTGGGAGTTTGATCAGTTTTGTTTAAATACCCTTTCTGGAAAAAAAATTCAAATGAGGCTTCATAGCGCCTTCTCCCTCATGTGAAAAGCCACTTTTTATGATCTTGTTTAAGAAGGAAGTGAATAGAATATAGGTGTTACAGAACAAATTACTGAAAGGAAGCTGTAACTATAGCTAGAATGAAAATGAAAAGTCAGTTATTCTTACTTATAACCTATTTCTTTCTTTCTGGTTACATTTCCCCCAAAGCTACCAGATTACATTGTCAGCCCTAAATTTCAAGGGCACCGAGTCCCCTTTACCCCAGGGTTTAAATTAAATGTCGCCATAGAAAGAGACTATAAAAAGGAGGATCATGATACCTTTCTCGATAGCATCTCGACCAGTCACCCAGGTTACGCCGACACACAGAATATGGTGGAGGATGCAGGCCTCTGCCCTGTGGATGCCTGAGGGTGGGGGCACCAGCATTTACTTCCTAGTGAGAAAAATAGTGCAGTAATACAGTGATGTGTCACAATTCACAATGCCCCTCAAACTCAAATTCCTAAAATTTGAGTCTTAGGCATACCTTCCTGAATTTTCACTCCTTCGTAATATCAAATATATTGAATGAGTTTGTTTTTATTGACATTTGGTATAAAAATTATGTCCATGAAAAAATTGAAACATGTTCAATAAATGTCACGTTAAAGTACTTACTACAACTGATTGTGCCCTTGTATTGGATGTTGAACACTCCCAATAGCTAATCACTTAAAATCTATTAGAAATTTGTTTATGAAAAGTGACATTTTATTATGAACTAGAGGCCCTCTGCTGGCCTGTGCCCTCTCACAATCTGGGACCCCTCGGGCGATGTCGAGTAGCCAGTTTCAGCCTGATCCCCTCAGGCCTGATCCAGACAGGAGGGAGCCCGATCCTGTGTTGAGCATCTGTCCCATAGTGGTTGTGCGTCATAGCGACTGGTCGACCAGTCATTCGGTTGCTTAGGCTTTTATATAGATTACCTCAATAGAGCAGAAGACATAAATCAGTTTAATATCTAAGAAATTTTCAAATTTAGAACAAGCCATTTCTTGTAACATTTCCACTTCTGTGTTCAATTTGATCTTGGAGTTTAGAAACATGGCCATGGAGTTCAGTACCTGGTCCCAGAGTTGGAAAACACTAAACTTACTAGAATCTGATTTTAGTTTAATCCAAACTTCACTGCATAATCCATGAACGCAGACAGTGGGGTGGTGAGGGCCTGGGGTCAGGGGCCAGGGTAGACTGGAGGGGGTCCATGGGGGAAAAAAGGAGACATGTGTAATACTTTCAACAATAAAGATTTTTAAAAAAAGAAATGAGAAGCCATTTCAACTGATAACACACAAATACTAAAGATCACAAGAGACCAATATGAACAATTATACATGCAACTATCTCTTAGGAAGATAATGTAAGACCCCCCGCCCCCCCCTCCCCACACACACGCATACCATTTATAAACTATATTCCAGGTGCTTTGAAGAGTTTGTTAGCCCAGGCAAAGCCTGTAATTTTTTTTTTTTTTAAATAACACATGCTAAATTTTTAAATGTTTTTTTTTTTTTAATTGATTTTTAAAGAGACAGGAAGGGAAAGGGATAGATAGAGAAACAGCGACATCATTGATTGGCTGCCTCCTGCACGCCCCTTACTGGGGATCAAGCCCGCAACCCAGGTATGTGCCCTGATGGGGAATCGAACCAGTGATCTCTTGGTTCATGGGTGGGATGCTCAACCATTGATCCACACCGGCCTACAAAACCTATAATCATAACCACTCTAACACAGATTGGTTTAGGTTTCTGTTACCCACTATTATCTACACAATAAAATCCTAAACTGTCACTTAAGGTCCTCTGAAGTTCTTTCCCATAGCCAACATCCCATCCATGTACATAAATCCACTTTGCTACCTATCAAATCCTTAATCCTCGCCACTCAAATGTCCCCTGGCCGTGTGCTCACAATCACTCATTTGTACTCTCCTACGTCACTGAGTTAGAGGTGATTCCATAGACACAAACAGTTGGCCTCGTAAGGGAGTGTCAAACCTCTCTCCCCCACGACCTTGGAAAAGGAAGTTTGGTAACCAGCAGATTCCTCCTCCCCAACCGAGCCCAAGGCTGTGCAATCAGGTCAAAGGACTTCAAAATGGTACTTACTGGGCAGGAAGGACTAGCCATCTTTATTATTTCGAGATTGTCAGTATATTCTCATTCCTGAAAGTCATCAGAGAACATTTGTAATATGTTTTTGTATTAATTAGCTGAAAACCAACCTAGACAGAACATGAACATGGTTTACTCTCTCCTGCCTCGACATAGGAATGCACTCAAACCAATCTAGCAGTCTAAGATGGCAAGTTTGCTATAAGACTACAGAAAATGAATTCTCGCATCTCACATCTTATAAATATTACATCTTAAAGTTATTATGTATGGTGTCATAGTGGTCCCTCCTGGCATTATTCAAGTCACAAATTCTTAACCAAATTATTCTTATGCTTTTTCAACTCAGTCTAATGGTTGGAAAAAAACCAAAAACAAACCCAAAACTCAACAAAGGAATAACTAGCAGTCACATTTCATCCAGAACAGAAGGCTGGCCCCAAAAAGCTGGCTCAAGATTATTTTCATATCTAAAAAGAAATAGGCAAATTACAAAACAAAGACAAACCATTTAATAGATTTTTTTTTTTTTTTTACAATTTCAGTACAAATGAGCACTTCAAATAAACATTACAGGGTTTTTATTAATTGCCAGTTAGTCAATAAATAATTTTTGTGGCTTTCCTTTCTGATGAAATAAGTCACTTTGTTATAAAGAGAATGTTTTAATACATTACTTTGCTTATACACATCAGGAGAATTCTATTAAGTGTCTTGAACATCAACAACTTTAAAACTTTTACAGGAACTGCTTAGACAGATGTCCTATTTCCAGTAATTTACTGGAATAAATTTTAAAATAGCCAAGAAGTCAGAGATGACATTGTACAAGGGAAGACAGCGTGTTGAGTTGTAAAGTGCCTTGCCTAAAACTCGGGACCACAGTGAACTGCAACATCTTACAGAAAAATAATGAAATAAACGACAAGGTCACAGTAAAAAGCCCCGCGTGGGAGCATCAAAAAAACCCCAAAAATACAAACCCCACAGAATGACATTCCCGGATGCAGCTGCTCACTGGAGGTTATTCAACTGCCTGCCCCTAACCTAGGAAACCTACAGCTATGAAGCATCAATTTAAAAAAATAAGGCAATGCTAATTGTCTTCTTAAGAGGAAGTTGGTGTGAGAGCCTCATGCATCAACTCAAAACCCAAAATCAAATAATATTTGTTCAATTCTTCATGTTAAACTACTGGTCCTTTATCTTGTGGCCTGCGTCCCGAGGCCCACACTGTTGTGTGTCACTACTTCCTGTTGGGTTCCTAAGTGCTACTTGTGTGACGAGCACCTGTCTCCACTGAGATTCAGTTCCTGTGCCACTCACTGGCTACTGGTTTTCTAGAACAAAGAAGTACCTTGAGAATTAGGCCTGTTCCCACATTGCAAGCAACTGTTGTGGTACTGACTTTCCCCTGCTTTTCTAACTGACGGTTACATGTATCTGCTTTCAAATTCACCTCCTTTGGGTGGGAAAAAACGGTTATAGAAAAAAAGAGTGATTGCATCAAGAAATCTTTGCTTCCATTTCTAATTGTTCTCCAGTAGCAACTGAATGCTGGAAATCATTGAACTTCTCCAAGCCTGCTGCTACCCATCCTGCTTGCTTGCTTCCGCTAACACGTTCAAGGATTATGTTATTTATTTGCACTTGTTAGAGAGGTAAAAATAATATGAAGCACTTACTACAGAAGGTGTCCTAACACCTTGGCCAGAAACACCATCTTTTTTTGACATGTCAACTCATGTATTCTGTTTATCTCGATGGGTCAGTAATGCCTTTTTCTTTGCTCAGTTTTCAGATGAAGTGAAATAATGTCGTAGTTTTGTTTTTGTCTTGAGTGCCAGATGTAAATGATCTGCAGTGTACCTTGATAGTGGCAATGAGAAATAATTCTGAACACCCAGAGGTCTGATCAGCAAAGAGAGAGTGGTATTCCCTGGGCAAGACCATCCCTGCCACCCCAACCGTTAGCATTGAGTGTAGGAATTCCCTGGTCACCTTAGGGGTAGCCCAGACTCATTGCTGTGTGACCCTATGACATGAGAGGCTCCTCCGTATGGCATGTGACACATGAAGATTTCTGCCAGTGAATTAGCAAAAACATAGTACCTGCTCCAAATGAAACTCTAGGCTTTCTAACATTGTTTTTTTCAACGTGGAGCAGTAAGGCGATTTCTTTTTAAATGATTTCATAGGCAAGCAGTGGTGTTGGAGACGTATAGGGAAAACGCAGGTAAAAAGCAGACCTAACAGACATATAGATAAGCCAATCCAGAGAGACTGCCTGGGTTTCTTATGTAAAAGGGGCACATGGTGCGTTCCTTCCTGACGCTGCAGCCACAGACCCGGCTAAAGCAGACAGTCATCATGCCTTCTCACATGTGTGCGTTTACCAGGTACAGACTAGAAGGGAAGAGAAGAATTCACAAGGTTTCCTTTAAAAGGGGCTCGATAGCGTGTAAACACTGGCTTACGCAGCCCACCAGGGCTCAGGGCTGGAGCAGTCTATGGGGTGTGCATGTCGGAGACAGGACACAGGAGTCTTTAGCCGGGTTAAGCTCAGGTGAAGCTGATGGCATACGCTTCAGGCACCCAAAAGTACAGACACCGTCTCCCACACGGTCAAGGTTAATACAGACATGCACATAAACAAACACCAGGGAGTGGGCAGCCCAGGCGTTGGGTTGCCCTCTTTGCTGCTTCTGTCTCTGACTTTTCTAACCTGGTGCGATGCGGGCAGGTACGGCTCTTCATGGTCCCAACTACCTTTCAGTGTGATCCTTCCTTTATGCACCCACCCCCCGGGTGATGCACCAAAAAATTACTCTGAATCTGTAAAATACAAACGAAATTAAAAAACACCACAGACACACGTAAATGGAACAACCATTTAAAATTCGACGGGAGGGAACTTAGGCGTTATCCACTAATTCCCTTTTCTAAAACCCACACGCGGACTCTCGCAGGACGGTCTCCTTCCCAGGCCCCTGAGAGGAAACTCGAAATGCACGCGTCTGGAATAAAACATACCTCGGTGGCTGAGCAATGACCTTATTGAATAAGAGACACGATTTTTGTAAACTACACAAGAGGGGGCAGAAGTACGAATGTTGCTTCAGTGCCTTTACACAGATGTCTCTTCTGACGGGGGGTTGAGGCCAACGGGCTTTTCTCTATAAAGCGATGCCTAAGGAGGAAGGCAGGCATTCTGCGAGAACGCGCTGTCCACGGCTCCCACTCAGGTTTCCGCTAGTGGGTCGAACACCTGAAGCACCGTCCTCTTGTCCGTGTCGCTGATGGCGGCCCAGGGACCCAGGTCTTGGTGCCCGTGCTCCGGGGGCGGCTCCTCCACGGCCGAGCCACTGACCTGCAGTGGGGCTGTGTGTGCCCTCCTGAGGTTCCTGGTCCCCGCGTCCAGGGGGTCAGAGCTCTTGGACAGCCAGGCGCTGTTCACCAGGTTAGGGTGCTGGAGAAGGCTCCAGAAGGGGTCCTGGCCATCACCCAGGAGGGAGGCCGCCTCTGGTCTGGGCTCCTTGTGGCCATCAGTCTGGGCGCCCCCGTCGGGCTGGTGGGCAGGGGGGCCGTCGCTGCGGAGGCCGCTGCGGGCCAGGTCCTGGAGGAGCTGGCTGTGGGTCTGCAGCACCTGCAGGTGGAAGGCGGCGGGGGCCGACTTCTTCCTCCTCGGGGGCACCTGGGGCACAAGAGGCGGGACCCCCACGAGGGGCGGCGTGGCCCCAGCAGGGGCATCGGCTGGCGCGGGCTTCCTCTCGGCGCCTCTCCCGGGCGGAAGGGTTCTTGGTTTGGGAACAGGAGGGACTGTCACAAGAGGAGGGGTTTCGAGGCTCGTCTCCGGGGACCCGATTGTGAAATGGACAGTCTGTTGCCCGAACTGTTCTTCCGGCGACGTGGGCTGGGGAAAGGCAGGATACAGAGAGTGAGAAGCCAGCGTGGGGGTCGGGCGTCCGTGCTCAGCGTCAGCCAGGCGCCGCGGGGGACATTCTAGCAGATGCGAGATCTGAGAATGTCTGGGATGCGGCCATGTGCCCGGGGGTGGAAGAACACGGCAGAAACACACACACTGACCAGGAGGACCGCGGGGCCAATGGAAGACGAGTGGGAACTTGAAAACCAGGGCCACAGGAGTCACCGAGACGGACCCCCTTTGCTCCCTGAGGAGAAGGGGTGTCCCCTCTCCTTACTGACAGCAAACCCCTCTGCAGCTCTCGATCGAGGCCGCGGTGTTGCTAATTCACACCAGATAAGCAAACGCGGAGTCACCTACGTCCCGGCGTCCGGCTAACTGAAGGACGCACGGTCCGCTTGCTCCTGGAATCTTGGTGTTTATGGAAGAACGGAAACATTTACACGGACACTTCGCTGCCTTGGTTCTAATTCAAAACCACCCCAAAGACAACAGCCGCGCGGGGCGAAAGGAAGCTCTGTACCAGCGTGGGCGCCGGCAGCTGGGGCATCGGCCTTCAGCGTTTCCTTCGCTGCTTTAGGAAACACGGCAGGCACAGCCCCCCTCCCGCAGCCCCGCCACTGCTCCTGCGCAGCGGGCGGGAAAATGAACTCGTTTCTGCTCCTGGCTTTTAAGACAAAAGACATAGCGAGGACGGAGGGGAAAGAGGAGGAAAATGACAGATGCCACAAGCCAAAGCGGGCAGAGGAGACAGCGAGCTGGGTACGCACGAGGCGCCCAGGCCCCGGCTCACACGTCCACGGGGGAAAGCAGAGGTCATCTGTCAAGACCAGCGAGGGGTTACCGAGTGTCCGGCACTAGAACACTGAGGTCAAACGGAAGGTCCAGATGCCTCTAGAGGTGCCAGTCTTTGGGCTGCTACTGTCCTGACAAACTCATGTCTCTGAAGCAGCAAGCAAGGCGGGGAGGCTTGGGAGCCAGAGCAGAACACAATCTGCAAGAAAAGTGGCGAGAGGAGCGGTGGGACGGCCCGCGTCCCAGGCCGGCGGCCAGGACCCGGCATTGTTCTTCTAATGCAAACAACCCCGTCCACGCGAGCCCTGCACGCACGACACAGACCACACACAGACGGGAGTTCCGGGAACACGTGGGATCGGGCCTCCCCCCGTGGTTCGCTGTGGGGCCCAGCCTCCAAGCTGTTCCATGCGTGGTGAGAAGTCCCTGGCTTTTCCGCGCAGCCAGGGCCAGGGATACGGAGGAGAAAGCAATTGCCAAGCATCTTCCTCCAGGATGGGGCCGTCCAGGGACTCAGGAGTGTTTATGGAGAGACAGACTCAGCAGAGATGGGACCTTATCTCACCAGACGTTCGAGCAACTGAGGGGTGAGAGGCGGCTGCTGCCAGCTCTTACCTTCCCGGTCCTCCTGAAGGTCGGCTTCTTCATGGCAGGGACTCTGGGCGCGGGCCGGCGGGGCAGGAGCGGGGCTGCCCCCACCGCGGGCTCTGGCTTGGAGGACTCCTGGTCCCTCGGGGCCGTGGCGTTTAGGACTTCCCCTGGGGGGCCTGGAACACACAAGTGCATGGCTGAAGCGCCCTGGACCAGGCAGTTCGCTGCACCATGAAATCTTTAGATAATCTACGTTCTGAGGGTAATTTATTGATGCAGTATATTTCCTTTTTTTTTTCTTTCTTTCTTTCTAAAAAAGATGCTTGAGGGTTGTCAGGACCAGCGAGCTAGCTTTGGCCCCCAGCTTCTCGTGCTCACCTCCCAAGCAGGGATGGTGAGCTGGGTCCGTAGTGGTCTCGATGGGGGATCAGTGACACCCTGACATCACATGCAGAGATGCGTGTGCGCTTCTCACGGGAGACGACCTAAAGCTCCTTAAAACCTCGGCAGGGCCCGTGATCAAGAAAATGTTAAGTTCAAACTCCAGGTAGGTTTCAAAGTTCAAACCTCTCCTGCCTCCACATCCATAGCTTTCTCACACACACACACACACACACACACACCACAAGGCAATATGGCCTGGCCGGAGTGGCTCACACACACACACACACACACACACACACACACACACACACACACAACACAAGGCAATATGGCCTGGCCGGAGTGGCTCAGTTGGTCGGGCGTCATCTTGTGCACCAAAAGGTTGCCGGTGCAATTCCCAGTCAGGGCACATACCTGGGTTGTGGGTTCGATCCCTGGTCAGGGCATGTACAAAAGGCAACCGATCAATGTTTCTCACATCAATATTTCTCTCTCTCCCCCTTCCTCTTTCTAAACATGTCCTCAGGTGAGGATTAAAATATATATATATCTATACACTGAGTGGCCAGGTTATTATGACCGGCAAGATTATTATGACCACCCCATCAGTACAATGAAGTGAATTAGTTATGCAAATAATAATAATAAAACCTTGAGAGTATTTGCTTAGGAAGTTTTCAACATTCAATATTTTCGGAAGTGTCAATGAAGTACTTATGGGGTGGTCATAATAATCCGGCCACTCAGTGTACATATATAAAAGCCTAAGTGACCGTCCGACTGGTAGCTATTTACACACACTGACCACCAGGGGGAAGGCGCTCAATGCAGGAGCTGCTGAGCAACAGCACTTTGCAGAGTGCCCTCTCACACTCTGGGATCCCTCGGGGAATGTCAGACTGCCAGTTTTGGCCCAATCCCTGCAGGCCAGGCCAAGAGACCCCACCTGCTGGAGGGACCCTGCTTACTCTGCAGATGCCCTTCAAGCCCCAGCGCCACCCAGGTGCAGCCGGCCAGGTAGGGATCATGGGAGGTTGGCTCCAGGGCGTGTCTGGCCTGTTTCGCCCAGTCCTGCCCCGCCGGACACCTTCTAATTAATTTATTTTCAATGTGCACGAATCCGTGCACTGGGCTCTAGTAGAAATATAATTCACACACCATAAAATATACCCTTTTAAAGAACAGTCCTGCAACCATCACTGTCTAATTCCAGAACATCTTCATCACCACCAAAACCCCACACATACCCACAGCACTCTTTCCTCATCCCTCCTCTCTCTGCCCTGGAAACACTAGAACGTTCTGTCTCTAGATTTGCCTGTTCTGCATGCAGTGTGTGTGTGTATACATAGCATACTATTTTCAAGATTCACCCATGATGTAGCATGTATTAGTACTCCATCCTTTTTTATGGACAATATTCCATGGTATGTTCACACCACGTTTTATCCATTGGTGGACACTTGAGTTGTTACATACAATTGTAGTTACATTTAAAAATAAATAATAACAGCCTTGACCGGGTAGCTCAATTGGTTAGGTGTCATCCCGATACAGGGTTCAATCCTAGGTCAGGGCACATGTAAGAATCAACCAATGAACACATAAAGGAGTGGAAAAATAAACTGATGTTTCTCTCTCCGCCCCCCTTCCTCTCTCTCTTTAAAATCAATTAAAAAATCCAAAAATATAAATTGATATTGAATATTTATTTGAAAATACATTTAAATCAAAAAGAATCCACTTGAGGTGATGTTATGCTACAACAGTGCTTCTCATCCTCTCACTTTCTGCCCTCTTTCAATGTTATCTGAAAATTCCAAATAAGTTAGCTATCCAGGCTGAAAACAAACCAGTCAGTTGTACTGCGTGCTCTCGCCCCTTCCCAAAGCCTAACACGTTAGTGACCAGTGATGTGAACGCAGCGGGGAGATTCTAAGGTAAAACATGACTAACGCGGGTTAAGGGAAGTGACAGCAGTTACGTGAACAGGCAGTTCTTTGACATCAAAGAACCTACAGTTGCTGGTGATTTTAAAAGTGGGTTTTGTGTCCGGGACGGGGATGTGCACCTCACCCCCCCTTCTTCAAGCAGGATGGGTTAGCGCCTGGAGCACTAACCTTTTCCAACATTCATTTTTGTTTATACCAATCTCTCCCTTAAGTACTTCTTAACAACCCTGGGATTCTTTTTATATACTTACTGAATTTTAAATATATAACTTTAAATGGACAATATATCTTAGTAGTGGAATTCTACAAAATGTTGCTAATGGGAGCTTTCGTGTAATACTGCCTTTAGGAAAGAATTTTCTCCTCTCAGCCCCGTTTAGCAGGAAGATGAAAAGCAGAACAGGAGCTCCCCGGCGGGAGGAGGCCCCGGGAGCACCTACCGTCTCTGGCCTCCAGCAGACACCGGATGGCGGCCTCCGCCTCCTGGGCATTGGTGGTTTTGATCTGCTTGACGTTGTAAGGCTTGCTGATCCCCGTCCTGGCCTTGGGCTTGAGGGCAGATGAGGAAGAGAAGCGTTACTAACACAGGCAGGAAGCAGCCGCACCGGCCAGCTCCCCGCCCACTGATCTGCACCTGGGCCGCCAGCCGTGATGAACACACAGTCCTGTCTGACTGCGTCCTCAAGCCCCTTCCCGAAGCCGTGCTACCAAGAGGAGGAATGCGACAGTGTTCGAGCGGGGACCCTCACCGGTTTCTGCAATGTGGACAAGCCATCCTCTAACCTTTCGGTAACCAGGAAAGAGCCAGAAGCCTATCAGAAGGCATTTTACGGCCCGGCTGAGTTATTAAAACACCTTCCAGATCTGTTTACTATAAAGTGCCTCTTCTACCTCTTCACCCGTTTAAACCGCAAGGACCCCTTTGCTGACCTGCCTTCATGCCTCTGAACCCCCTGCTGGGACCGCATGGACGTTGGGCCTCCCCTCTGGCCCCCTCCTGGGACCCAGTAGCTTCCACCCAGCACCCAGGCCTCCTCCCTCCTTCCTCGCCTCGACTCCACCGGCCTTCACCTACCGTCTCTAGCAGCCCTGAGCCTCCTCTGGAACGCCACCTCTCCACCCTCCAGAACTATTCCTATTCCTAGTGCCCCTCCCACGTTATTTAGGCCATTGGATCTGGTTTAGCCTCTTCTCTCCGCTACCTTCACCCCAGAGCCATCATAATTTTGTCCAGCAATGGATCGGAATGTCTCCTACTTTCCCTTCCACCACGCACTGCTCTGCACACCACAGTCAGAGCCAGGCGTCGGGAGACAGAGAAGCAGGTGAGTCTGGAGGCCAACAATCCCACCACACGGGACACTTGGCTTTTTCATCAACGTGATTCCTCTCCCGTGCCCTGCACGGCCATTTAAAAGCCCATAAAAACATGCCACTAAGTTATGGGGTGTTGGGGTGAGTTGTGGGCAGTTAGAGGGTTAGAGGCAGAAATCGGTGTATGTGCTGCAGGGGAGTGAGCCCGTTTGAGAGGAGGGGCCGAGGACGAACCACAGGCCAACCCCTGGGATCTGACCCGTCCCCGCTTCCCTGCGAGCCGCACGCACAGCGACTCACCACCTGCTGAGGCGCGCCCGGCAGCAGCTTCGCCGTCGGCAAGACCGAGTACTGCCCGTGGGTGCCGGAGATGGACACGTCCGAGGCCGACTTCTTCACCATGAGGCCTGCTGTGAGAACCAACAAGGCAGTCAGCCTCAGTGCCGGCCGATGCGTCCCGGCCCAGCCGTGGCGGCAGAGAGCGAGGCAGCGAGGCAGGGCAGGGAGGGGCTGCGTGCTCGGCTGGGGGCATCAGAGGCCATGAGCGCCCCGATTCCCCCTCTAACAGCTCCTCTGTGGACACAGGTTCTCTGGGAACGCATTATTCCATGTCACTGTTAATGTAAATGTGAACCTGAAGTCCTGGGGGACTCGCATGTGGTGTAGAGGTCAGGTCGCTTTGGGCGGTTTAGAATCCACTATTGTGACGAGGACCAAACTTTTAAAATGTGTTGTGGGCAAAAATAAAAAAAAATCCCAAAGCAGCGGATACTCTATGCTGAATTACACGTGCAGCCATTAACAGGACACGTTCCAGAACAACACGCAATGACACAGACATTAGGTGAAGGGCAAATGACCAAACAAGATGTTACCAACTTTGTAAAAAACATGGAAACAAGAAATTGCCTGTGGATGTCGCTATGCATAATTGGAGAAAGGCTGGAAGTCTTGTGATTCACATCCATTATCTCTAGGCAGTCAAGTGAAATTAAGAATTTACTTCTTTTTTATACCTATTTTTATAAGTTTTCCACAGAAATATATAGCAGTTAACATTTTTGTTTATATTTTATTTTTTACGTATCAACTCAGAAAAATAAAAAGTCATGTGCGTCTAGCTCACTATTGATTACTACTGAGACATAAGCCAAGTTGAACCTGATTCTGAAAGTAAAGTCTTAGCAAAATCCAGGTCAAATTGCCACAATTTGGGGGGTGCAGGGGGGCAGTAAACAGCAAAGGGAACTAGCAACTGATGAGCAGCATGTCCCAACTGTATCAGGTACTGATGACAGGCTGGCGGGAAAAGCACTGTGTTCTGAGGGGCCTGCATTTCCTCAGGGGGGAGAGGGCCGGCGGCCCTGGCCAGTGCTGCTCAATGGTTACAGCACCGGCTCGTGCACCAAAGGGCGCAGGTTCTATTCCTGGTCAAACCTGGGTTGCAGGTTCCACACCCAGCCCCGGTTGGGGTGTGTGTGGAGGCAACAATCGGTGTGTCTCTCTCATATCAATGTTTCTCTCTCTCCCCCCCTCCCTCGTTCCCTTCCATTCTCTCTAAAAATCAATGGGAAAAATATCCTTGGGTAAAGATTAACAAAGAGAGAGAGGTGAGAGGTGTGTGTGTGTGTGTGGTGGGGGGGGCAGCACCCAAGGGGAGAAGATTCTGGAAGACGCTGCGGGGCTGGGGGTAGAAGCTAAAAAGCGCCCTCTCTTGGCCGAGGCCCCGGTTTCCCATTCTCCGCGGAAGCAGCTAGAAGCAGAGTGCAGCCACTCTTGGCCGAGGCCCCGGTTTCCCATTCTCCGCGGAAGCAGCTAGAAGCAGAGTGCAGCCACAGAGGACCGGGACGGCCTCACAAAGGATCGCCGACTGCGCCTCCCATTTCAAATGTCACGGATTTAAGACAACAAGAGGCCCAAGGCGGGCGGAGGGCAGAGGGCAGGGCGCACGTGGGCCCGGAGGCCGGGAGGTGACGCAGAGCCGCTGGTGCAGGAGCAGGAGCAGGAGCAGGAGCAGGAGGTGCGCAGCCATTCCCAGAGGCAGAGCCCACGCAGCGAGTCTTACTTGGAGGGGGCGGCCTCTGCGGCGGGTGAGGCGGCCGCGGCCTGTTGGGGACCGACAGGGACCTACTTGGCGAGCGGAGGCGGTCCCCCACGGCTTCCAGCTCCTGCTTTAACTCCACCAGGGCGGCATCATCTGGAGGACACGGCGGAATGGAACGGGAGGGAGGTGAGTCGGGTGGGGCTCAGGTGTGCGGAGCCACCTGGGGCAGGAGGGCTCCCCGGGGAGCCGAAGTGTCCCCCTGGCTGCCGGCCCGGGAGGGCAGGACCCAGTGCCTGCTGGGAGCACTCAGGGAACCTCGACAAGACTTGTCCAGACGGGAGAGACACCGAAAACGTGAGAGTACAGAGAGGTGTTTCCTCCTGAAACCACCCCCAGACGTCCGCACCGCGTAGAGGCGGCAGCTGGAAGGCAGAGCCCTCCTTCTAAAGCCCTGGCTCTACACACAAGACAGCTGTTTGGGACGCTGAGAACCATCGCACGTCTCTGCCCGCAGGGCAGCCTCCAGCCCCAGCCCCTCGTGTGGAGTGTCCCGGGCACTCAGGTCCCAAACACTTAGCTCTCCTGACGCACCCAGCCAAAGCCTTCCGGGCTCAGAGCAGCACGAGGAAGTGCTGCTTGTGTTTCATTACTCATGCATGTATCACATGTAAACGCACAACAAGTTCAGGTCTTTTCTCACACGACAACACAGCCTAGTCCATTCATTTTGGCTCCAACACCCCGTCCCTCAAATCCATCTGGACGCCCACCAGGTGGCTGGGCAGCCCACACAGCCCCTGTTACTCCAGTCTTTATTCAAAGAGGCACCTGGCCCTGGCCGGTTCGGCTCAATGGAGAGAGCGTCAGCCTGCGGACTGAAAGGTCCCAGGTTCAATTCCAGGTCAGGGCCCATGCCCCAGTTGCGGGCTCGATCCCCAGTAGGAGGTGAGCAGAAGGCAGACAATCAGTGATTCTCTCTCATCATTGGTGTTTCTATCTCTCTCTCCCTCTCCCTTCCTCGCTGAAATCAATAAAAATGTATTTCAAAAAAACTATTCAAGAGTCAACTATACTATATAATCTAGGGACGTGCAGTTCAATCCTCATGCCTTTCAGTCAATGGTGATATAATGATGCTAATGTTGATATTAATTACATATTTGTACATGTATAAGTATATAATGTATAAAATTGCTACTAGATAACAATATAATGTTATAGGAAAATAAGACCAGCAACTTAGCACACAGATATTGAGCATGCCTCTTCCAGGACTGAATCAGAAAAGTTTGGGAGAGAAAAATCAAATCAAATGTAAAATCAGTTCAGAGCTGTGGCCATTTGAATACACAGGAGAAATGGGAATTATCATGAATCTGGGATATTAAAGGGGCACCGAAAAGTGTAAAACACAAATCACCGGAGAAAACCACCTTCCCAGGGCCCTGTGCCTGCCGCTTGCGGTGACCGCGTGGTTCCGCCCTCATGGGGCGGCGCACTGCCTGTGGCATCATGCAGCGATGCTGAGAAAAGAGCGATCTCGGGCCCAAGGCTGTTAGAAAGGGAAGGCCCAGCTACCTCTGTAGGTCGGATGTTGCTTCTTTTTGGGGAGCGCAGGTGACTTGCTGGGCGGTGCTGCCATGGAGCTGGGGGTATCGGCAAGGTCGTCCCCGCCCAGCTCACTGTCTGAGACCACAGGCTGACTCAGTTCATCCAAATAGTCTTCGTCCTCTTCGAGAATATCCCCTTGGGAACAAGGGAGCCACAGACGATTAGGGTGGAAGGCCATCACTTTCATGGGGGCCTATCTTGACCCCGTGGTGTCAGAACCCCTCGGCCCACCTGCTAGCAGACCACGGGAGCCCACGTGACCCCAAGGACGGGCCCCGAATTCCATTCATGCCTGGGACGGGGACCAAACTGAAGCCCCGACATCCTCAAAACCACTGCTTTCAAGTAGGTTTTGACATCTCCGGTCCTAGTTGCCATTTCACACATCATCCTGCACACGAACGCTGCCCACCTCATCGCCGGAGCAAACCGCACCGCAGCCCCCGTGTCCGTCCCCAGGCCGTGCTTGGAAGGGCTCCTGACAGCCCCGCCCATGGCTGGGAGCACGGCCTCCTGCCCGCCTCGCCACCGGCCAGAAGGCCGGCCAGGGCCACTCACCCTCCGACTCGTAGTCCGAGCTGGTGAGGTCGAAGCCCTCCTCCAGCAGGCAGGAGTTGGCGGTGGGCGACACGGGCGCCAGGCTCTCCCGCTTCCGCAGGATCTCGGCCTGCAGCCCCGTCAGCCAGTCCTTGGTCTTCGGCCGGATCTGCACGGCCCTGCCTTTCACCTGCGAGGGACAGTGCGGCCGAGTGAGCGCCGAGCCCGCGGCGGCCCAGGCTTCCCGCTCCAACGCAGGTGCCGGAGGCCGGGCCGGCTTCAGCCGCCGGCACAGCGGAGGGCCCTGGCCTCGGGCAGTCGCGCTGGGTCTAAGTAGAAGTCAAACCCTCGCCTTCAGCTTTTCGTTCCGCGTGAATTTAAAATCGACCGGGGCATCGTCAACACGGAAAACCCTGGGCTGCCTGCTCCAAAATGCACCCTCTGAAAGGCGGGAACCTTCTGCCAAGGGCCACTGGATATTGACAACACCGTTTGCAGACGACGCAAAACGACCAGCTTAAAAATTAGCCTGCCGTACTGGTCAAACAGTTAATTCACTCACCCCTAACGCCTGGGCCGGGGACAGACCAAATTTCTTTTTATACGGCCCTCGGGCCAGACGTTCCCCACCCCCGCTCTAAAGAGAAAGATAGCAACACTCCCACACGGAGGTGTGAGCACGGACAGACGCAGGAACCCAGCGGGAACGAGACTCCAAAACTTGTTCTTTCTCCCAAATTCTGCAAGCAGCCTGGGCTGGGCATTAGGCAGCTCAACAAAGGCACCAGGATGAGGTGCCCGGGGAAGGGTCCTGGCCTCTGGCCTCTGGCCTCACGCGGCGCCTACCCCTAAAGACACGGCGAGGAGAGGGGCCGCATGGCCCCGAGGACGCACAGGAGCGAGCGGCCTCACCTTCATGCCGTCCACGTCGAGGACGCTGAGAGCCGAGTGACTGTCCGCAAACGTCACCAGCATCTGCCCCTGGTTGATCCTGGAATAAAGGAAACAGTCCCGTCAACCCCGAGTGAGACTCGGCCGCTCCCACGGCCCGGATGTCACCCCCGCGGACGCCCGCCGGGCGGGGCAGTGGTCACCTGACAAGAACAATCGTCCCGTAATTCTCCAGGGTCTGCATGAGCTCGGTGCGCACGTCCTCAGGAAACTCGTCTTTCTCCTCGGAGGTGGGCGACTGGAGGTTGACGACGACGGTGGCGTCCAGGGGGCCCTGGAAAGAGGACACTTCCTGGAACACCCTCTCCCGGGCACCCACGTCAACTTCTTGAACTTCCACCTCCACGATGGCCAGCACGGGTCTGTGTTAGACACGGAGGGAAGACGGGCAGCCATTAGCCCGGGCGCGACAGCCACACCGCACCCCTCAGTCCCCGGAGCTCCTGTGAACAGACACCGCCAACAGCCCCCGAGGCGGCCCCAGAGAGGCCTCGCGGGGCGGTCCCGGGGTCTCCGTCTTCCTGGGGGTCTCAGCAGGGGAGCGTGTGCCCAAGGCAGCGAGGACCGTACCTGTGGTCCGACGCCTGCAGCTCCGCTCGGCCGTAATACTTGAGGGATCCGGGAGACCAGGTGTGTCTGACCTTGGTGTCCGCATCGAGGTCGCTGTCTAGGAGGTTGAGTTCTCCAGCTACCCACAGACAACACAACATGGTATCAACACAGACGAATGCCGAACACAGAACGGGTACCACAGGGACGGGCCACGCGTGTCTCAGACTCGTTCGCTCTAACCCCGTGGACCTGGGGTAAGGAGCTTCTCCCATGTAGACTGTCCAAGACAGTAAGCCAGCCCCGCCCGCAGAGTGGGGGGGTGGAGGGCACAGATATCACGCTGTGGGGCTTCCGTCCGGGGCACAGGGACGCAGGTCTGCAGCCCTCTGCACAGCAGGAGGTGCCAGGCCGAGGCTGGGGGCACAGGCCGCTCGGTGCCCCAAACTGATGTATCTGAACTAAACGTATCTTTCAATCTGCAGGTGTGACTTCCTGGCTTTGACATCTCAGCAAGTGTCTCACCAGAGAAGTTCAGCGGTTTATGACCAGATTACAGGGGGTTTAATTGTATTTTATCTTCTTCTTATTTTTTAAACATTTAACTTATTTGAAAATAATTTCAAAATTATAGAAAAGTTCAAGGAACACCCATACATCCTTTTCCCAGGTTCCATTTTGCTCCATTTGCTTTTTTAAAATTACCTTTACTGTTGAAAGTATTATAGACGTTCCCCCCGGTCCCCCCTTTTTTTCCCATTGACCCCTTCCACCCGCACCCGCTCCTCCAGGCCTTCACTACACTACTGTCTGTGTCCATGGGCTATGCATCTATGCATATAAGGTCCCTGGTTAATCACGTCCCCCCAACCCCCCACCTTCCTTCTAATTTTAAATCAACTGCACCTCATAGCTGGGATCATCGGACCAGACAGACTGAAGCTAAATGACAGCAAACCCTTCTCTCTCCCGTTTGGTTCGGAACCGGGGCTGTGGCAGATGAGGGTGTGGCGGGAAGGAGCGGCCTGGGTGGCGGGCAGCTGTGTGGGGCAGGCAGCGGGAAGGCGTGGCTTCTCTCCTGTTCCCCACTGGAACAGAGGTGGGCGGGGTGGGGTGGGGGACAGCTGTGGTGCAGGGATGGGGAGTCAGGAGCAGGTCCTTGCAGACCGGTCTCTAGAGAGAGGACGGGGGAGCTCCCCAAAGCGCAACCTCCAAAGCGCAGGGGCCGGGGCTGGGATGACCTGTGCGCAGCTTCGGGTTGTCAAGGACACGTTCCTTACATAAGAGTGTCCGGCTGGATCAGCGTGGCTTTCCCTCGTGGTGCTGACCGCCCCCCGCCCCACCAGCCCTGAGAGCGCACGGCTCCCCCGCACCTGTCCGGTCGAAGGGATGCCTCTTCCTCCACCACAGCACCCTGTCCGTCCAGGCTGGGGTGCGGCATTTGTCGCTCGTGTCGTAGGCGGCGGAGCCGACGTCGTACTTGTAGGTGGGCCCAAAATCAATGCTGCCTTCGTGGAAGTCTTTAAAAATCTAGCGGGAGGAAAAGAAGCCACACGCTCAGCTGGTTCTCTGGTTCCTAAGTCACAGAGCCCACGGCACATTTACAAACACGTCTGAAACTGGACACGTGTGTGCTTCTTAATTAGCAAAACAGTGAGGACCGTCTGTCTGTTCACCTGTCTGACGCACTGCCACTGGGCGCACCCCCTCCCCCAACACCAGACCTATGACACTGTCCGCTTGTTGGCCCCACAGACAGTGAAAGGCACGAGGTAGGGATGCCCAGCCCACACCCAGCAAGGCCTTAACCGCTGTTTGTTAACTAGGCGAATGGTGTGAACAGAAGCCCAGAACTGAAGTCGAGCTCTCCTCCGTCTTCCTTCCGCTCTGGGTCCAGCCTTGTTTCCGGGGGAGGCCCGGGAGCAGCCGCCTGCTCAGTGCATGAGTGGGAGGGTGCGGAGGACACTGGTGGGAGGAAGCAAGAGCAACCTGTCCCAGAAAGGAACATTCCCACCTGGCCACCCTCAGCGCCCGTGCCTGGCAGGGCTGAGGGGGATGGGCAGGGAGCACCTGGAGGAACTCCCGAACCTCGCTGAAGGAGAGATCTCCCAGTTCTCATGCATTTTAACCCGCTGCCTTCTCAGAAGGTAAAGGGAAGTAGCTGTGATTCCCTCACCTCAGCCCGGCTGCTGGAAAGCTAACAGGCACCAGTATTAGCTGGAGGAGGGAAGAAGTTTGGGGGTACCTGGAGGCTAGCCAGGGTGACCTTGCGGAACTGAGGCCATCATGGCCCACGGAGTCACTAAAATCTGCACATGGGTCACGTAAGGGGAAAGCATGAGCTGTGTAGTTCCAGTCTTGGACAGTATCAGAGTTCTGTTACTGACCCCTGTGGCCTTGGATGAATTATTTGACCTTAGCCTCAGTTTTCTTGTCTATAAAATGGGTATAATAACTAATTTGTAGGATGGCCTTGAGAATTAACCATATAAATATATATATATATCTCAATATCAATACTGGTCTAATTGGTTAGTGTCTTCACCAATGAGAAATAGAGATATCACCCAAATCCAGTACTTTGAGCAGAGTTTGAAGTGTCCCTTGCTGGTTTAGAACAGCTGAAGGACAGCAGTCCCTGCAAGGTGAGCACATGAGCATGAGCGGGTAGCTCAGACGCTGCGACGGGGCCATTCCAAGCTCAGATGCTGTGACTCCCACTGAGTGCAGCTCTTTTCTGGTTTGACAAAGGACAGCAACCCCCATCCCCCCACAGAGCACAGGCCTCCTGCTGCCTCCGGCTCCTGCAGCTGCCTGTGCTGTGCTTTCACACGATGGCCCCTGCGCCGTGAGAGGACACAGACCCGAACACAGCCCGTGAGGGGGGAGCAGGACGTGTGTGTGTGAACGGACAATCACACACATTTCCTACAACGTCATGATCCTCTTCACTCCTGGAACTTAACTTGCCAGACACGCGCGTGTACATTTTGTAGATGTTATCCCCTATTGGGGCAGCTGCCAAAACTGCTTTAAAAGCACAACTTACTTTTCCACTGGATTTCTGCAGCTGTAGCTGATCAAATTCCAGAAGTTTCTTCCAGTCTTGGCGCTTAACAAAATAGAAGACTTCTTCGTACGTGAGATCGATGCGGTAGTTGAAGTCGCCACACCAAAACACGTAGTCATGAGAAAAGATGTTTCTTCCCTAAAATGTAAAGAAAATCATAGTCGTTCAGGCCCATCGTCCAGGGAAGGGGGGAGGGGCAGGAAAGCTCACCGCCAGGCGACAAGCAGACGCATTTTCTTAAATGTTACTTTGAAAAGGTCTTCTGCTAAAGTGTCTTATGTTTCACTCATCCCTGAAGCCTGCGGGGAGCTCCTATGAGGCTTGCTGTTTATTCTAAATAATCATGTTTTTGAGTGGTTTGGAGAAATTTCCCACTCTTCCCGGTGGCATGGCTGCCAACACCTGCTCTGCTGATCCCCCCGATGGGCAGGCTGAGCTCCTGCCTTTACGTCCAGACCCTCAGCTGCCCAAACAGTCGGGGCTGTGAGGATGAGGTTTAAGGAAATCAGTAAAACTGCACAGGACGTGCAACTTCATAAACCTTCATGGATTTCATACATTTTCTGTTGTTTTTTGTTGTTGTTGTTTTTCCTTTTTCCTCTTTCTTTTGTTAATCCTCACCCAAGGATATTTTCCCATTGATTTTTAGGGAGAGTGGAAGAGAGAGGGAAAGACAGAGAGAAACACTGATGTGAGAGAAACACATCAACTGGTTGCCTCCTATACACACCCCAACCAGGGCCTGGGCCGGGGAGGAGCCTGCAACCAAGGTATGCGCCCTTGGCCGGAATCAAAGCCGGACCCTTTGGTCCACAGGCGACGCTCTATCCACTGAGCCACACTGGCCAGGGCAGGATTTCATACATTTTCATCCGTGACCCTCCCTCCCTACCTCGCCCTCCCTCCCCGCAGGAATCACGGTGAGAGCGGCTGCTCCTATCACCTGTCTCCAGGGCTGGGCACAGTGCCCTCACGGCAGCCCCTGAAGCACACCCTGCTGGCTCTTCTTCCAGGTTAAAAAAAAAAGTTCAGGAAAACTGGCTGAAGGCTACACAACTAGCGTGTGATAAGGACAAGATCTGAATGCGGCTCCCAAATCTGTTTCTGTTCTGCCACACTCTGTGGCATCCCCACTCCCCCAACCCACAGCAATCATCTGGGCAGAAGACCAGAGTGACCAGGACCACATACAGTGAGTGCTGGAGCAGGCCGTCCAGACCTTCTGTGGTGATGGAGGCGGTGCCGCCCGCGCTGTCCGAGCCGAGACCGCCAGCCGCTGCAGCCTCCGAGCACTTGCAATGCGGCCAGTACGGCTGAGGGAGCTTTGTTTATTTTTAATTTCCATGTAAACAGCCATCATGTGGCTAGTAGCTACTTTACTGGACAGTGCAGGTGTGGAGTACTGACTTCTAGGTACCTTCGTTATTTCCACTGTTGAAAAAGGAGCTATATATCTTTTAATTACTTTGAGTGTGTCCTTCCAGTAGGCCATATTTTGAATGCACTGTGAAGGGACAAGGTTGGGCTTTTTAAATTACACAGACACACAGGAGAATATGCAGAATGCCCTACATGGTCTGGAAAAGGACCAAGTGCCAATTTCCCAAACTCATTTGTTTCTTCTTCAACCCAAGACCCAAACACGACGATGAGGACTGCAGCCCTCATTACTGAAAACAAGAGGCTTTTCTCTTTAAGCGCTTGTGCAGCCTCGTAAAGGAGATGCCAGGTTTCAGGGATCTGGCTCCCGACGAAGAGCTCCGGGACCTAATGGGCCATGTCGCTGACACTGTGGCAGGCACGGCTGAGGTCTCTCCTCCCTCCGGGAGACAGGTGGCTTGCAGCGGGCTGAAGGCGTGCGGGCCAGGTTGGCACAGAACGCAGAACCTTCAAACCTGAATGTGGAGGAAAATCTGCCGGCTGCAGAATGAAAAGCTCTGGATCACCACTAGAGGGCAGCGCACCGCACGTTACTGGTGACCCTGTGACCAGAGGGGCCATCCAGGGCTCCTGAGCCGAAAGCTGCCTGGTTTTGAAAAGGGGCCTTATCTGAGCCACCACAGAACGGATGTGCCAAGACTGTGAATCTCAAGAGAACTGAGCCTTGTGCTGTTCTTCACCAGCTCTGACGAAGAGCGGACACATTGGTTCTCCTGCCCCATTCCACACGCTCGAATCAGAAACCCGGAAAATGCACATAAGAAAACGCAGGGTATTAAAGACATTGAAGAGACGTATGAAGATGAGGCTTGATCCTCCAGGCCGGACGCCTGGGCTGGCCTCCACTGTGCCAGCCGAGGTCACTCCCTCCCCCAGCACAAGTGCCCCAGGCGAGGACCCTGCTCTGGGGTCTGCCCGTATTCTCAGCTCAGAAGCCTGCGCATGGGGGCCTGAGTGCGGAGGCCAGAGCGTGCCCCACGTCCTGCCCCCACCCCCGCCGGCCGCTGCCCGCCGGCAGCCCTCACCATGGGGAAGCTGAGCTTCTGGGTGATCTCCCTGTAGTCCTCGTTCCGCTCCTTCACCTGCGACTGCCCGGCCGTCAGGTGGCTGCACACGAAGCAGAAGCTGGTGCTGTGGAACTGGAAGCGGATGCCCACGGCGCCCTTGTTGCCCGCCTTCCCGCCCATGCCCGTCTTCACCGTGTCGATGGCCACCTCCCTGGAACAGAATGAGCACAGGCAGTGGCTTCCTCGTGGCTTCGGGAAGCGCATCGACCTGTTCGGCTACAGAGAAGAGCGGGGCCGCAGCCCGAGGCTGCAGCTGAGGACTCCAGACCACCTGCTCAGAGCGTTTAATCCCGTCTTCAGGCGCCAGGCCCCACAGTGACCGGCACGACCACCACCAGCTCCGCTGTCCCTGACCTCCTCCCTCCCGCACTGGCACTGTCGGCAGCCGCCCGTGGGTCTGGGGTGCCTCTCCCACAGCCCCCACTCTCAAGGGCTCGGCACCCACGAAAGCACCCCACAAAGCAGCCCTGAAGCCGACCCACCTCCATCCCTGCTTCCTGATCCCAGTGCTCGCTGCCAGCACGGACAGCACCACCCGCCACCCCGCCCGGCTTCCCTGCAAAGCTCAGGAGGTGCCACCAGGGCATCAACATGTTTAAGGAGCAGGGAGCATCCAGGGACTTGGCCGGGCTGGGCAGGTGGTTCAATGCAGACTCCTGATCGCCTTAAAGTGCCAACGTACAATGCACACGAGTGGGTGCGCAGGTAACAGACCGAGGCCCACACCTGCTGCAGAGGCTTTCTGTCCACGTGTCTTAGATTTTTTTTTAAAAAAAGAGGCAAAGCATTGGCATTTCCTGCTGAGTTACTCAGCTCTTGGGTCAGAGGTTTCCTGACTAAAATGTCAACAAGGCATTATCCGTCCCTTCCCTTGTGCAGAGCTGAGCTGGGTGACATAAGACTCCTGAAGGGGCCCAGCTTCCTAAGCTAGCTGGCCCCATTGTGGCTTGTTCACTGCTAGACAATATTCTATTCAGCCTAGTTTCTCCTGGGGGTTTGCTTCCATTTATCTAGAATAATGGCAGGACGAAGAGGAAGTCAGAACAAAGCACCATGACCAACGACCCCGTCCCCCCCCCGCCATGCTCGGAAACTCCAGGCTCCTACCTGATGAACGGGACGTGGTAGGGACGGACAAAGATGTAGAGACAGACGCCCACCAGCTGTGCTGAGGTCAAGAGAATGTACCTATGGGAGCGTGAGATGGCTTTCTGAAGCTGCTCGCCCCACATCTTTCTGTTGGTGGTGCTGGGAGAGAAAAGACAAGGACACCAGTCACCATCGGCTGGCTGTGGGTTCTCCCCCCCCAGCCCGCCCGCCCGCCAGCCCCAGCCTGATCCTTTCACACACGTGACGCCCCTCAGTTGCCCTCACTGTCAGGGTCGGGCTCCATGCAGCACTGGACTGGCCGTTCGTTGCCGGCTGCGTCACACCCACCCCAGCAGTACTCCCCACCCCGCCACCTGGAGCCCAGCACGGGGCCCTGCTCCTAGGAGCTCCACAGAGTCAGGGCTTATGATTTGTTCAGAAAGTTCCTGAAATGAAGCTGTGCCAGTTTAGGAAAGAAAAGGTGTCGTTGACTTTATACCCCACGTGAATCAGGGGTGGGGAGAAGAGCAGTGCCTCCTCCCACACTCCTCTCCCCTCCCCCCAGGAAAGGTGACTCAGCACCCTCCGCGGACCTCCACCCACACCCTCTGGCTCACAGCAGGATGCAGCCTGCGTGGCCAGAGGCCACAGCTCAGAGAGCATGCTCCCCGACTGGCCCTTCTCCCTCTCTTAGCAGAGAAAGAGGCATGGGGAAGGGCAGACAGCGGCCCTTCCGACCGAGGGGCCCAGGCCAGCAGACACAGATGGCCCGTGGCCCTGCACCTGACCCAGGAACCCTCAGGGAGTTTCACGTCTCTCTCCTGCACCCTGGCGCCCAGCCGCCTACCTGGCATTGACGATATTCCCCGCACTCAGTTCCACCATCTCTTCAAACCCCACGGCAAATATGTCAGCTGGGCTGCTGTCATCTGGGGGCAAGGCAGGAGATGAAGGAAGTCAGACCCACCATGGCCAGCCTTAACTCAATCGTGGGGCGCCCCATTGGCCTGTGGGTGCAGGTATCCCTCTGCCCAGGTGCACTCATCCAGTCCCGTGGGCGGAGCTCCGTACAGGCCCACATCCCCTCCATCCCCTGCTGTGCACGTGGCCTTTCTCGTCTGCATCCTGGGGCAGGTGCCTGTACCTCAGGAGCGGCCATGAAGTGTCAATCAGAGGCCGTGTAAGCCCCACCCTGCCAGGTGTGTCCTAAGAGCCTCTTCCTCCGGGTGACGTCACAGGCGTCACACCTTCTCCCCAGGTTCCAGGGGCAGGCACTGTCTCATACTTGTCTGTGCCCCACGAGTGCTTTCCTGGGCGGGGCCCAGCCTTCCCCGGGGAGTGACCGACAGGAAGCGCAGCACGTGCAGGGGTGCTAGTCATGCGTCCTGTGTTCCCTTTAACAGGGAAGCTTAGGGTGCCATGCCACCCCTGCAGCCACTGGCCGCCTCTCTCCAGGCACGTCCTTCTGACACTCAGCATCCTGAGCCAGGAAGCCAGCGGCTCTCTAGCTGCAGCAAGTGACACCCCTCCCCCTCTTCCCTGACTCCATCCAAAAGGCCAGTGTCCACGGCCTTCCTGTTGGCCACACAGGACGCCTGGACCCTCAAGCTTCACTGGCTTAGAGTTTCTTTTCTTTCTTTAAAGAAAAAAATACTGTTCCTCTGATCTGCGTGGCAACAGCCACACCCCTTCTCTCTCCTGAATGCGGTGCGTTTTAGTGGGAGCCCTGGTGCACCCTCGGTCCCACTAGAATCCCCTGCGCAGTAAGAGGCAGGGTGCTGTCGGCACCCACCTGCTCCTGCAGACAAATGAAGACGAGCCATTTTAGCAAAAGAAGCTGCAGAGTCAGCCCAGCCTGTGTGCTCACAGGGCCTGCCTGGGGTGAGGGGGGGTGGCATTCACAAACACAAGAATCCCAGTGACCCCAAATGGCAGACGTGAGCTCCCCTGACCCCCGAGGAAGCAAGGGGGTGCAGGCTGCCTGCATGGCTTGGATGGGGCTCTCCTGGCAGCGAGGGGCTCCTGCTCCTCCCGCTGGATCCGGAAGAGACTCCAGGGAGCCGGAGGGAGCGAGGCCCTGGGTGTGTGCTGACCGCAGGAAACTCATTTCCTCCTCCAGTCTGAGCTCTGAGGCCTTTACATGCTACCTCGCAAGACCTAAGACAGAAGGTGATGTGTCAACTTTGGGATTATTTCCTTCTTAAAAGGCACACAAAGCCATGGCTTGACGCGGCTGCATCTGCTGCGCGGTTGGTTTGGGGGAAAGCAGGAGTGGACGTTCGCGGCCAGCGGTGCCGTGGCCAGCGGTGCCGTGGCCAGCAGTGCTGTGGCCAGCGGTGCCGTGGCCAACGGTGCTGTGAACCGCGTGCCCAGCCCCTCACAGGAACATGATTCCAGAGGCTGCCTCTTCCTCCTCAGACAGGAGGTTCTAGTGATCAAAACCTAAAAACTGTGAATCTCTGTGTGTGAAGCGGGGAGAGTCGCGGCTGTGAGAACCCTAAACGCTTGGACGAGAGAAGGCGGCGGGTAGTCCACGTGCCAGGGGTGCTCTGAGGGTAGACCCTGTGCTCTCTGAACCCCGAGGGGGCGGGAACCCCAAACACTGCACTTCACAGAATATGGAAAACGGCTCGATGGGATGGGCGCTCACCCTGGGGCTCGGGCTCGGAAAGCCTGGGCGAGTCCAGCAGCCACTCGGCGAGCTCGGCGGTCCCAAGCAGGTTGCTCCGGAACTGCTTCCCTCCGTTCACGTTCCAGGTCCCCATGGCGACACGGACCCGCTTGTAATTTGTGAACTCCGCCTGGCGCTCCGACATCGCCCTCAGGATCCTGGGGGTCACTGCGGGGAGGCAACACAGGGCACGTCTGTCCACATCCAAGCCCCTGCCTCCCCCGGAAACACGGACGGGGTGGGGTCTCTGTCCGCGAGAGAGGGTGCCTCTCTCCTGCCTCCTCGTGTGGCCGCACGGGACTGACCATCTCATAACAGAGCAGCGTAGGTCCCTGGCCAGGCTCCGCCACCGCCACATGCAGAGCACATGCCCCCGCCGTCCGCCCTCAGGCTCAGGGGAGTGTCTGCCACCCGCCACCTGGGATGACATGAGGGGTGGGGAGGGCTGGCTGGCACCCCACACGCCCTCTGCGTGGCAGGGCAGCGGGACGCCCGAGGCGAGCGGAGAGGCACCCCCGTACCCAGCAGGGCTGTGTTGTCCAGTAGCATCCTTCCCTTGTCGGCCGCCTCCTCCGTGTAGACGTCTCCGACCAGCAGCAGCTTGATGGCCTCCTGCTTCACGCCGTCGAAGAAGTTGGACTGGATGGTGCGGGACACGGACCGGGCTCCGTCCTTCAGCTTCCCCACCTGCCGAGAGCGGGACACAGGCCGTGAGAGGCATCCACACGCCACCCCCCGCCACCCAGATCCTGGCCTGCCCCCACCTTGGCCTTCCCCTCCAGGGCGCGGCTGCCCGTGAACATCTTGCTCAGGCTGTGCCCATTCAGAGACCACATGGCTTTGAAGGACTCCACGAAGCGGTCGGCGATGGGCTTTGAATTCAGCCCGAGGCTCCTGAGCTGCAGGTGAAGGACCTGGAGAGAGTGAGGACAGGGGTCATCGACTTCCCCCCGGGAGCTCCCCCAGCTGCCCACTCACCCCACCCGGGGGTTCCCTATCTTCCAGAGGACGAGGAACCCCTGAGCAAAGAAGGGGGCCTGCACCACAGCTACCCCCACGTTCCCATCCCACCCAGCCTCCTCTGACCCCTGAACAACGATGTCCCTGCCCCACCACCAGAGGGTGCACAGCGAGGAGGGCAGTTGGCCTGGACCACCACCTCCTGCAAGCAGGAAGCCAGGAGGGATCACGCAGACACACGGACAGACTGGGGTTCCCTCTGAGGCCTCTAGCCAGCCTCCCGCACAGCCTCTCCCCACCTCTGCCCAGCAGTGTGCTCACAATACCCCCACCTAGAGCCCTGCTCCCCCAGGTGCACCTGGCACCTGGGCCCCCATGTCGGACGGAGATGCATGAAAAGTGTGCCTGACGGGTCAGAGGCAAGCCAACCCCCCCGGAGGCCTCGCCAGGTGCCTAGCACATCCCGCCCCCCTCCCCACAGTTAGAAAGTGAGCCCAGCGACGCCCTCATCTGCCCATGGAGGCGCAGGCCCAGCCTGCCCCGCTGAAGGCAGAGGGCCGAGAGGCCGGGGCAGGACAGACCTCAAGCGCAATGAAGCTCTGCACCGTGTTGGTTCGGTCCAGGCAGTCGAGACAGTTCATCCGCAAAGTGCCTTTCTGAAAACTTAGGAAAACAGGAAATAAATGGTTACGTGTTGTGTTAGAAGGAGCAATGGCTGCAGCACAGTGGCCTGTGTGTGACGTAGGCCCCCCAAAACGTGTGCCCCTCGTAGCTCACCAGGACCCCAGCACACGCTTGGCAGCCCGCACACCGGGTCATTCTAAACACAGTCGATTCCCGCGATTCACGGCAGTAACGCTCAGGAAGTGGCCGTGAACTATCGGTGATCCACTAGCCCACAAGCAAATCCTGAGCCACTGCTCGCAGGTTCCCGAGCCTCTGGTCCCGCATTCCACCAACTACTCCGCACACAGCCTTGTTTCGCGGGCTCCTCTGGCAGAGATGCCTTGGTTAGCTCTGTGCATTCCTCAGCATTGGACTCACAGCCAACGACGCTCTCACCGCTGCACGAAGCTTCCTGAACTCTCCGTAAGGCACCTCACATCCCTGTGCTGAGGGTCACTAGGCGGCCCTTAGCGCCATGTTTGGGGGCCGTTTCAAACAGGGACATTGCCAACAAAGTGCACAAAAATGTGAAGCCGTGGCACTAACGAGATGGCAGCAAGAGAGCGGGACAGAGGGCAGAGCCCGCGGGAACACACGCTGGGCCGGGCGGCTCAGGCTCTCACCGGCGGAGCATGTCTGTGAGCGCCGGGAGCGTGGGTTTGGGGTCACAGGTCTACCCAGTGGGCACATTTGCAAATACAGGCTCTGGGAATAATGAGGATCGGCCGTGTTGTGATTTGAGGACCCTGGACTTCCTTTTTCTGCTCAGCTGAGCAGCAAAATCCACACCCGTTTTCCTGGGCCATCGGGGTTATGCCAGCCCCCCGTTCTCTCTCAGGGTTTCACCTCTGTCTGGAGAAGTCATATGGTTACCATGGCTCCCATTCTAGCCTGGTCGCCTTTATTTGTAGATTTAATGTGCTTTCCTGTCTACTCACAGCATTCAAAAGCAGGTTCTGATCCGGGAGAGGGGGTGTGCGATGGGGGGTGGAGAGAGGCTGGAACCCTGGGGCCCAGGATACTGCAAGGTGGCGAGTGGCTTGGCGGGAAGGCACACAGCCCAGGGCACCCAGCCCTCCGCCACCGGCCCAGCGGGAGGGGAGACGGCGGAGACTCACCGGGGACTCACACTCGCGCCCTTGGTGAACACGTCAAAGTCATCCCAGTGGAGCTGCAGCTGGGGCCGCAGCAGGTTCTCCAGTTTCTCTAGCTTCCTGCCCCTGGCGAACTGGTGGAAGTCGAAGTTTATCATAGGCGTGTCACCGGCGTGGCACGAAGCCCAGAGCAGCTTCTGGAGGGGGAGAGGGAGGAGGAGAGAGTGGCAGGGGCCAGGGGAGGACACCGGCAGCAAACCTCTCCCGGCTGGAATCCGCGTGGCCAACCCATCACTCACGGAGCAAGCGGCCTGTCAGTCCTGACGCTGCGAGGGCAGCACGCAGCCGGCCCACAGACACACAGAGCATCTTGCCCACAGCAGGTCCGCCGCGGGCAAGCGACAGCCAGGCCGGGAGAGGCTGCCGAGGAAGCCCCGGGCCCGCTCCGACCTCGCCCCTCTGCGGGGCTCTCCGAGGGCGCCGGGAGGGAAGGGCCACGCTGTTCTTCAGGCACCAAGTGCCACAGGCCCCTGAGGCGCTGGGCAGCCCGCAGGCTGGGAGCTCATAATCCAGCTCGGGGTTGCCTGGTAACCAGCCCCATCTAGACAGGCACTACCCTCCAGGTGGGTGTGCTCTGAAGCGGCTGAGCCTCCAGGGGTTCCTCTGGGGGCTCCTGGCAGAGACCTCCCTTCCGCACCAGGAACCTCGCCACCCACTCCTCAGCCCTCTCTCCAGCCCCGTGGGAAGGAGACCTGGCTGCCGCCCAGGGACCTGGCCTCGGCCTCCCCCGCCCCACAGCTCCCGGCCAGACTTGTCGGAGGGTGTAAGGACTGTGAAGGACTTGCTGTCTGGTCCTGTGACTCAGAGCACCCGCCCACCATGGGCCAGAGTGCAAATCAGTGCCCGGTGCCACCGTCAAGGAGGTGTTGCCGTGAGATGAGGTCGGATGAACTGAGCAGGGTGCTGCTCGGTGGCTCTGTCTGGAGCAGACGCCTATCCCCTGTGGCCTGATAAGCACGGGCGGCAGGCCGGCTGTGGGGCACGGACCCCAGCATTGCAGAGCTGATGGGCCCAGGGAGCTGGGGCTCCGTGCGACACCGGCCAGGTCTCCTGCAGGCGGAATGTCAGCTTCTCACCTCCCACCTGCCCAGGAGCCTGCCCTCCCGGGCCTGGGCCACGGGACCACTGCCATCTCCTGCCCCTCTTGCGCCAAAAGAGCCCGTCAGCCTAAGAGGCACTTCCACCGCTGACAGGTCGCTGGGGATGTCCTTCCCCAGAACTCGAGGCATAAAAGGGAAAGAGATTCTTGGGCTCTTTTCGTTCTTGCTCCCCTCCTTCCTTCTTCCTGAAAATGAGCTGCCAAGGTGGGTGGAGGGGAGATATTTCTCAATCTCGTTGCTAGTAGCAACAAACCAAACAGGAAAAGCAGGTCTGGCCAAATGACACTGGCACGTGGAAATGGGCACCCAGCTGGGCAGCTGCCATCAGCCAGGGGCAGGCGCCATCAGCCAGGGGCAGGCCTGCCTTCACTCTCTCCATCGGAGGCTTCCTTGATCTTGAAACAACCAGGGCTTTCCCCATTAAGTGGGGGCTGCGGGTGATCGGAAAGGGACTGTGGAGGTGCCCACAGCCCATTCTGGAGCTTTTCACGTGATAGATTGAATACATACAGGAACTCTGGGGACAGGGAGAGGCGGGGGGAGGGGGAGAGTCGCTCCAACTGCTTCCTGCCCTGCCCAGGGTTTCTCCCCACACCTCCCTGGTCCTGCACAGGGAAGCCCCAGGGAGCCATGGGCAGCCGGACACAGGCAGCAGCTTTTAGGGGCAGCCCAAGCAAGAGTGGAAGGTTTGAAGGCTCCAAGTGAGCAGGAGGAAATCACATAAGGTTTCTTGCCTTAAGCCGATCAGGAGCTCTGAAGAGCCCACTCCAGGCATAAGGCTCTGCAGGTGTTTGCATGAGCTTGCCAGCAGCGGAGCCAGACCAAGGAAGGAGGGGTTGCACGGGCAAAGCCCAAACATTCGTGCGCACACGCGTTTGCATGTGTGGCTGGGTGCATGTGTTTGTGTGTGCGTGTATGGGTGAGTGTGTGGGTGGGCATGCATGTATGGGTGGGTGGATGAGGGGGTGGGTGAGTGTGTGCACGTGCATGTGTGGGTGAGTGTGTGTGTGCATGTGTGTGTGGGTGTGTGCGTGTTCATCCAAGAGGATGGAAAAGGCCCGGCTGTCCTGAATCTCCAGGTCCCAGTGGAAGCTCTAGAGCAGCGGTTCTCAACCTGTGGGTCGCGACCCCTTTGGCGGTCGAACGACCCTCTCACAGGGGTTGCCTAAGACCATCCTGCATATCAGATATTTACATGACGATTCGTAACAGTAGCAACATTACAGTTATGAAGTAGCAATGAAAATAATTTTATGGTTGGGTCACAACATGAGGAACTGTATGCAAAGAGCCAGAGGTGGAGAACCACTGCTCTAGAGCAAGCATGCCAAACATGCTCAAAAAGCATTTATTTGAGGCATGCGGCCCGCCGGCCGTGAGTTTGACATGCTTGCTCTGAGGAAATGCAGCTGGAGACAGGAGATGCTCTGTTTCAACTCAGCAAATTCTCCCAGCTTCTCAGTCCACAAAAATTAAACTCCGCACATCAGGAGCCCAAGTCACAATTGCTGGAACCCTGGTGAGGTCTGCACTGTGTTTCCAGCCCCCACGGGAGCCTGCCTCAGAGCAGGGGCCCTCAGGCTCCCCCCTCCCTCCCCCATCCCTGTTTGGAGAAGCGGGCAAGGGGCTGCGTTTACCTTGAAGGCTCTGTTGAGCACCTCCTCTCCGCCTCTGTTCCCCAGCAGGTTTACGACCACTTGCTTCCCATACTGCTCCTTCAGGAGGACCATATGCCTGCAACAGAGCAGGCGGTACCGTGACCCTGTCACCAGGATGCAGACTGAGCCCCGCCTCCAGGGGAGAGGATGTGGAAGGGACCTGCTGGGCACGAAGGCCCAGGATGCATCTGCCCATGAAAGGGCAGGAATAAACCTGGCACACGAGAGGAAGGACTTTCCAGTAAGCGCCCCATTAAACCCAGAATAGCTTGACCTGGCCCGCATGAACAGAGCCTTACAAATGCCATGTGTGCTATCTCTGAAATTAATCTGTTTCACTTGGTACCGTCTATCCTCCGAACTGGAAAACCTGGTAGGAGAACAGTCAACTGCAGGGTCCGATTTTTATCTAAGAGCTGCTGTATTATTTTTTCCATTTCTTTTTATGTAAAAATACATTTGTTTGTTTTAAGAGAGAGAGGCAGAGAGAGGGATAGAGAGATAGAAACATCCATGAGATGATTAGCTGCCTCCTGCCCTCCTGCACGGCCCCCACCGGGGGCTGAGCCTGCAACCCGGCATGTGCCCTGACCAGGAATCAAACCAGCAACCTGTTGGTTCCTGGGTCGACACTCAACCGCTGAGCCACGCTGGCCGGGCTAAGAGCTGCTTTATGATGCTGCAAACAAGGAGACACAACCAAATCTCAGTCTTTAGGGAAATTATTTGTGTATCAGAGACCATTTAAAAATACATATGTTGAGCCCTAGCCAGTTTTGCTCAGTGGATAGAGCGTCGGCCTGCGAACTGAAAGGCCCCAGGTTCGATTTCTGTCAAGGGCACGTGCCCGGGTTGTGAGCTCAATCCCCAGTGGGGACTCTCAGGAGGCAGCCGATCCATGATTCTCTCTCATCATTGATATTTCTCTCTCTCTCTCCCTCTTCCTTCCTCTCTGAAATTAATAAAAATATATTTTAAAAATACGTATGTTGAAATATTAGGGAGAGACAAATGTTTACCTTTTATCACCAGCTTTTGAAAAGTAACTTTACAACTTCAACAATGGTTAGAAATGCTGAAATGCAGTGTTTAAAAAAAACACAGGAAAAAGACACAAGCAAAAAGCGGATGGAAAACTGTCATCTAATAGGGCCACCTTTAAACCTAAATATAGAAGAAAGACCAGAAGATAAAACATCATGATGTTAGAAGTGGGGGAATTTTGTGTCATTTAAAATTATTTTCTTCTTTAAACATTTCACTATTTTCCAAATGTCTACAATGACATGTTTTTTTTAATAAACAAAATTTTTAAAAAGTTAATTATCACAAAAGAACCAAACCCCATAAGAGAAAAAAACACACTCTTTTACTAATTTTGAGGGGTGGCAGTGGGTAGAAGAATATGATTCTGAAGGGGGGCAGTGCAGGTTTCTTGCTGCGGAGTTAAGCTTGAGTCTGCTGGCAGCTCCTGTCTCTGTGAATGGCCTTTCCTACAGCAACACTCCTGGAGGCCCCGCCCTCCCCTCGGCCCCGCCCTCCCCGCAGCCCTTCCTGGGGGAAGACACAGGGACATGAGCCAGTGAAATCGGGCCTCCTGCAGGCTGTGCTCTGTCCCTGGAGCTGTGGGCGTGCAGCCCTGGCTGAAGCTGCCAGAAGAAATGCAACGTTCCTGGCCTGGCCTTCTGGGCTCTTGGGGGTCTCTGCCCAGAGAAGGGGTGTCCTGGCCTGAGGTGTGCCATGTGACAGAACAGCAGGCTCTGCTCTGGTGGGAAGTCCGAGCTGCCCAGCACTGAGTGAGCTCCCTTAATTCGGGGTGAAATGTGAGGAAGCCCATTGTGGCCACACATCTGAGCTGTGACCAAGCCACAGTGCAGCTTGTCAGAAATAAGGCTGTCTGATGCCCACATACATCTCCACGGCTCCAAATTCCAAGGCTGGGAGAGGAACACCGTCACTCATTGCTCATGTCACCGGCCCCACACACCCTCGATCGAATCATTCACTGCCCTGAGCTGGCTCCTTGGTCTGTCACATAGGCCAGTCCTCTTGTGAGGGGCGGGCATGAGGAGAACAGGCGGGTGACAGTGACGAGTCCAGTGTTTGGCACGGGGGAGCTGGTTTTCCTTTCCTTCTGATTTAAAATTAAGATAGCACACTTTGAATTGACAAACTGAGACTCCCTTCAGTGGCTCTAAGGGACAGAGTCTTGGAGTCCACACTGAGGTCAGGAGAGCGAGGCTCCTCCTGGCATTGGTGGCTCCGTGCGTTAGGGGCTTTATTCAACCTTTCAGCTCATCTGCTCCTCTCAGATGGCGCTCCTTGGAAAACGGGGAGTTTTCCAGCACCCCAGGGAGCCAGATTTCCACTTGGCAGCATCCTTCTCAAATCCAGGGCATAACTGAGGGGCCAGCAGTTAAACCCCCCCTGATGTCCAGACACAAGCAGGTCTGTGCAAAGCGAGAGAGGGCAGAGGGAGTGGATCACCACCCTGCAGAGTGAGACTGGGCACCACCCAGTGACAGGCTAACGCCGTCATCAAAACTGTACGGCACCCCGAGCAGCCGCAGCCCAAGGCCTGCTGGAGACACCCCCTTCTGCAGGCATGGCAGATGGCAGAACGACAACAAGCAACCAGGGAAGCAAGACAGCAGGGTCCCCTGGAAAGGATCCCATGGAAAAGATTTTGCAAGTGGGGGAGGGTGGAGGGATTTACTCTGGACCAAACACATCAAAGAACTGAGAAACAGAGATCTGGGGGCACCTCTCCAGGGGATGACACAGCCCCGCTCCTCCGGGGGGCCCACTGTGCCCCATCTCGGTCTGTGAGAGAAACCTGTGAACTCGCTCCCAGACACTCACTTCCAAACTGCGGCCCAATGAGAGCGACGAGCCAGTAGCTGTCAGGTCAGACAGACAGGAGGAGGGCACAGTCTGGTCAAACTTCGGGGTTAGAGGCATTAAAAAAGAAACTCCTTGCAAGCCAGAATTTTAAGTGGAGGCTGCCTGTTAAAGGACTTACGCCCTCAGAAAGGTGTTTGGGGATTCGCAGAAGAGATTGAGTTTATCCTTAGATTGAGGGGAGAAGCGAGTGTAAGAAACGAAAGGGCTCCCAAGTACACGCACACACACACACACACACACACTCCGGCCAGCTCAGGAGGAATTGCATTCTCGCTAACATTTCCTATGAACATTTAATGCAGATCAATGTCAGCGAAAAGAAGTCCATATGCGCCACGGGCAGACACATGAATAGTGCTCAGAAAAAAAGGCAATAGCATATTCCCTACTAGGTTACATATTTCCTTCCAGGAGAAGCTATCACCAGGGGTCGCAGCTGGGCTGGTGTTACCAGGTTATGGTAAACAAGATGGCTGCAAACAAGTTTAAAGTCCCAACGAAGCTTCAGGCACAGCGATTAAAACACAAAATCACTTTTGAAGTTTTATGACATTCACTAAGATAATTTTTAAACTTAGTATTTAGATTAAAACAGCAGATACTTTAGGAAGCTATTAATGCTTCAAGTTCAAGTTAATAGCTCAGTTTAAAGTACTAATAGTTCAGGTTAAAGGTGCAAAATATTTAGTGTGTTATGATCCAATTTGTGTTTTAAAACGTGAACTATGTATACGCGAACTTTTTCCTAGAACGATACATAAAAAGCCAATAGTGGACTCTCTGGCAGTGAGAACTGGGAGTTAGGGTACTGCGACTTCTCACTTTATACCGTTCAATGTGGTGGCATCAGACCTGGGAATGTATTACTTGTAAAATGAACACAAACGGCTACAAACACCCTATGATTCAGAGGAGCCCTTGTTAACCAGGACGCATGGATAAAGCTTCACCACGGGAGGGACTGGTGAGATGAAACAATCCCACGCGCTACCTGCGCATTTATTGCTGAGCCTCAGGGAAACCTGAGCGCAGGCAACAGCCTCACTTTGGAAACTCCCTTTTGCATAAAAGACCAAAGTAAAGGGCAAGGTCAGACGCAGGGCTGGGGGCCTCCCTTCCCGCTGTCCCCTGCGCCGCTGTCTGGTGGGAGGGAGACCCCCTGAGGATGACAGACAGACGGTGTCAGACGGCCTTACCTGTCGAAAGCAGGGGCGTTGGCTTCCAGGCCTCTGTTGAGTCTCAGATGATGCGAGCCAACCTAAAGCAAAGAGAACAACCCCGTGACTCCTGCTGCTCTGCGAACCCAGAAGTGGTCCCCACTCCCCCTCTCTGCCAGCCCGGCCTCCAGCGGCCCATTCCAGCCCCGATGTGGCCCCTCCCAGCGCAGGATGGCCAGGCCCCAAACTCAGTCCCGCAGCCCGAGTGGGGCTCTGCTGCGGCCCCGTCTGAGCTGCAGTGCGGACCATGCCACTCACAGTCTTCCACAGACAGAAGAGAAACTCCAGGGTAAGACCAGGAGGCCTGCGTCAGACCCACAAACCCCTCCGTGGCGAGAGGTACAGCTAAGCCAGTGGTCGGCAAACTGCGGCTTGCGAGCCACATGTGGCTCTTTGGCCCCTTGAGTGTGGCCACGAAGTTTCAATCACATTGTACGTGCGCACCCGCATGTGGTATTTTGTGGAAGAGCCACACTCAAGGGGCCGCAGTTTGCTGACCACTGAACTAAGCCAACGGGAGAGAGACCACTGTCCCGGCATCCTCTGCAGCTACAGGGCCCTCGACGGCCCTGACGCTTGAGTTACAGCTGCCTGGCAACTAACGCGTCTTGTTGCTTAGAGCTACCTGTTAAACGCTGGAAGTTTAAAAACAACCTTGAAACTAACGTGTGGTTACGGAGCCAGCTGGAAGCACTCTCTCTGAACATTTCCTGGACAGTATGAGGACAGTAACGGATTGTGACCTGGAGAGTCAAACAGGAATCCATGAGTCCATACCAGGGGTGGGGACATCTGGCCCTTGGGTCGTAGAAGGCCCGAGAAATCATTTGACCTGGCCCTGCCCAGACATGAGGGGGGAGTCAATTAAACGTTTGACCAAATACAGGAGGCTAATTTTTAAGTTGGTAGTTTTGTATGGTCTGAGAATGATGTTATAAATATCCAAATGGCCCTTGGCCGAAAAAAAGGTACCCCACCCCTGAATACAGATGACAGCTGGCCGGCTGGGTGAGTGGGTAGGTGGGCAGGTAGGAAGGTCGATGGATGGGTGGGTGGGTGGATGGATAGGCAGGCATATAGGTAGATGGCTGGGTAGGTGGGGGGTGGACAGATGGATGAAGGGTGGGTGGATGGGGCAGATGGGAGGACTCTTCCTTTCAGTGGAGTACTAACTAATGGAGGAAGTGGTGGGAAATCGTCATTTTACAAGCACTATAGTAAATAATTGCTCAGCAAACATCCGGGGTTGACCCTAACCGTCAGGGGAGAGTGACGAGGAGCAGGATACCTGCCTGGTCTCAGAGCGTCACCCACGGGCTGCTTATCATTGAATAGGAAAACACACTAAGTGAAGAAACGGAACAGCTCCTTGCCCAGGCGATCAAAATTAGCATCGCTGATGCGGGACAGAGGCTTACATGAGGACGTGGCGTCAGGGATCGACACCCTGAGCCTGATAAGATGAAGGAAAAGAAGGCCTGCATTCTCCAAGAACGCCTCGTCACAGTCAGGAGGCACTGCTGGGACTAAAGGAGACGAGCGTGTGACGCTACCTGCAGGTGTGACGCTGGCCTGGAGGGAGAAAGTGCCACCAGGACTCGTGAGACAACAGATAAGTCCAGACCGAGGACTGCATGTTACATCACGGCATTGCATCCGTGTGACACTTCCGGAATGCGTGCCTGCACCGTGGAGATGGCAGCGTGTCCTTGCTCTTAGGAGAAACGTCCTGACATAATAGTAGGTAGAGACACGAGGTAGCAACTCCTCTCACTGACTCAGAAAAGAAGCAATAGCGTGTGCGCGTGCATGTGTGTGCGCATGCATGTATGTGTGTTTGTGCATGTGTGTGGAGATGGTGACAGTGAATTTGGGTGAAGGACACACAGTTCTCTATTGCTCGTCTGGCTTTGCTGTAGGCCTGGAGTTATTTCAAGAAAAAAGTTTCTTCAAATGCACGCTTAGCTTGGGCTGTTAGCGCATATTATGGAAGTCGTGTCCTTAGACCTACCAGGATGATCGGATGCAGTTATTACAAACATGTACCAAGTGTCACTCCACAGCGCCTGCCCGCAGGTAACACCTGTGTCCCTCTCCGAGCTTGAGGAGAGCAGCCGTCCAGAAAGCCAGCTTCCAGCCGGATGCAGAGGAGACTGGGGCTGGGCTGGCCCATCTGACTGAGTCTATGAATAAGCCCCATCCCTCGGTCCGACGAAACCCTGGGGTTCTGGAGAAAGGCTCCAGTCAAGCCCTTGTCTGGTGGCTGAGCTCATGCTGCCCCCTTTCCCCAGGGCCGCCACCACCTGGCTGAGGAAATGAGATGCTGAATTCCCAACACTTTCACAGCCAGGTTCTGAGAAGACGCTCTGCCTGCCCCCTGAGGCAAGTGGGCTCCTGTCTTCTTTCTGGATTTACAAGGAAGGCACCTGGGAAATGGGATCCTTTCCGCCACCCTCTGATCCCCAAGAGCAGGGGCTGTGTAAGTCTGTCAGTCTGTCTGCCAGTCATGGCAAGAAGTCTCCCGGCCTCAGGGATACTGCGGCTGTTTTTAGACTCGTTCCCATGGGAACGCAGCAAGAGGAGGATGGAAAACTGGGCTCAGGGCTCAGAGGCCTAGATTTTAGTTGTGACAGTTCTATTACTGGACACAACTGCCCCCCCTTCCCCCCAGTCTCAGCCCACGGTTGTTTCTTCTATAAAGGTAGAATTCAGTCACGGATGACTGCACCAGGAGTGTCCCACCTCTGGGCTTGAATTCCTCCCACTATAAGAGTCACCCGAATCCCATGACAAATTGCGTAACCAGTCCAGGATGGAGTTAGCAAGCACATCCTGACACCCACACCTACACAGCACGGGGTACCAGAGAAAGACTGGAGCGAGGTGGACAGGGTCAGACAGGACCGCCGAAGGCATGTTTTGTCCCCGATAGCACTTAGTCCAAAGTCACTGCTGACCACAAACCCACCTGGGGACACTAAAAGTCAAGAGCACTGCCCAGCGAATGACCAGGGCAGTCAGGATCCCTGACCCCAGCAGTCCTCAAACTGTGGTCCCTGGACCCACAGCACCATGTTTAATGAGCTGCCCAGGTGACTCCTGCATGTGTGTGCATGCGTGTGCACGTGTCTGCACGTGTCTCCGCGTGTGCCCAAGCACTGGAGTCTGAGCAGCACTGGTTCGGACTCATCTTCCTCCTCCATTCCCTTTTAGCTCAGGTTGCAAATGCCTGTGAGCAGAGAAGATGGGAGGAAGTGAGCAGCTGGGGGCGGGTGGGGGGAGGGGCTGTGTTCACACCTTCGCAGCCACAGGTGCACTGGGACCAGGCCCAGCCTGTCCCCGGCTGCCTCCCCAGACATCCTGGCCTCAGGCTGTGCTCACCCTGCACTCACCCGTCCTCCTTGGACATTCTAGGAGGACATTCTCGCAGGAGGTCATTCTTCCTCCAACATTCCTTTAATTTCATTGCCTCAGGCCTCACATCCTGCCTCCTCCTCTGACACTGACCCTAGTCTGTCCTCTCTGGTGGCACCTAGTCCTGAGGCCACCAGATGTCGGAAGCCTTCAGTCAGGGCTGGAGTGAAGCCACGGTTGGCACCGGCAACCGGAACACACTGTGATGCTTTATTGGGCCTCCCCTCCTTCTCCGTCTCCCATCCCCCTCCCCCTGGCCAGGTGGACGCTTGGACAATCACTCCTGTCTGAAGTGGTCACTTCAGTCCTACAGACCACACACGCAGGGGCATTGGCCATGAGAATAACCGAGATCTCGAGGACGCCTGGCTGTGCGTCAGCCCTGAGCCCACACCGGCCCTTGAGAGGGCCCCACAGTCACCAAGGGCACCCGCCAATCCCTCTGGCACCCACTGCCCCTCCCCTAGTTAAGGCTGCCAGCGTCTTACCTGGATCGCTGTGACTTCCCTCCTGGTGTCTTTACCTTCAGTCTTCTCTCCCCAAACTAAACCCTATCACACTTACAGCTAATCATGTCACCCACCCCTGGGAACCCTTCCGTGCAGTGGTCCAGTGTGTGCTGGAGCCAGCTGCTACCAGCTCACACACCAGCTCCAAGTTCCGGGACATCAAGTTGGTGGCTTGACATCAGCCATGATGGGAGCATTTACACTACAGTAATGGGCAAATGCTGCAAATGGGATTTCTCCCTCCTGGCCCTCAGAAAACTGTTTATCAGCACACCCGAGGAGCTCCCAAGCCTTCCTGAACATTGCAGTCATCTGGGGTTTTCAGAAAGGACGAATGCCTGGCTCCCACCTCCACATTGTGATTTAAAAAATATATATTTTTATTGACTTCAGAGAGGAAGGGAGAGGGAGAGATAGAAACATCATTGATGAGAGAGAATCATTGATCGGCTGCCTCCTACACGCCCCACACTGGGGATCGAGCCCACAACCCGGGCATACGCCCCCAACCGGAATCGAACCCGGGACCCTTCAGTTCGCAGGCGGACGCTCTATCCGCTGAGCCAAACCAGCCAGGGCCAACACTGTGATTGAATTGGGATGGCATGCAATCTGGGGACCAGGAGCTTTGAAGTTGCCCAGGTGATTCTGATGTGCAGCGACGTTTGGGCACCACTCCTCTGGCAGCTCCTGAGGGAAACTGTCACCTCCTCAGCAGAAGGTAGAAGCCCGTCTGACCTGGCCCTGCCTGCCTTCCAGTCTCACCTCCCGCAGGGCACTCCTAGGACTGCAGGCAGCCAGACCAGAACGCGTCTCTCTTATGCCCTGAACTCAGGGGTTATGTCTGCACCACGCCTTCCCTGGACCAGGCCTGACTTCCGTGCCTGGTGATTCTGCCCTGTCCCAAGTGAGCTCAGACCCCTCCCCTAAGCTGGGCTCCATGCACACAAAACGGTCATGCCGGCCCCTCCTCCCCAAATGCAGTATCTGGCGCCAGGGGCTCTGCCTCGCGCATCCACAGATGCTGAGTGTCTGTGGGACAAACAGACGGCCAGCTCTGGGGTGTCTGGGGGCTGGGAGACGGAACAGCCCGGAAGACGGGTCCCGTGCTGCGTCCT